TGGCACGACAAGAACTGCAAAGCATTTTGAAGAAGAGTCCAAGTAGGTCGAAATCCGTGTTCCCTTCTCGAGTGTTGAGGTACTAACCAAGTCGTCCTACCAGTCATCATCTTCTCCAAGTCCTACTGTCCCTACTCCAAACGAGCCAAAGCTCTCCTTTTGGAAACGTACAATATCACGCCGGCGCCTTACGTGGTAGAACTCGACCTGATGACCACTCCCGTTCCCAAGGCCCACGACGATGAAGATGACGATGCGCCAGCCCCTACGCTAGGCCGCAAATTACAAGACCTCCTGGCCACACTAACTGGTCGACGTACTGTGCCGAACATCATGATCAATGCGCAGAGTCTAGGTGGCAGTGATGACATTGCTAGAATGCATACGGAGGGGACGCTGGAGGAAGAGATCAGAAAGATGGGCGGGAAAAGGATAGTCAGTATCGAAAAGAAGCACAAGGACGGGGAATGATTGACCTGGGGATGCAATGTCTTGATAAAATACGGAAACGAATTGCGCATTCAACGAGCATGGAACGTCCATTTCCTGTGAGGCTCTTGGTACCACCAAGGTGCCACGACTATCCCTGTGTCACCATGTCGTCTGGCGTCCATCAATTGGCTGTGACAGTTAGCGGTACACTGTCTGAAACTACATCTGCGAAGATTGAGCACCACCGCCAACCAGCTGGACATCTAAATCACCACAGGGCATTTCAGCCACGAGCACGACGAAATTTCGCCTGTATCACCAGGGTAAGACCTCAGCGGCTTCAAGCTGGTGCACAACGCAACCAAACGCAACGGAGCTTGAAGCTCTTTGCGGATGCGACAACTATGGCTCACGTTGAAGGCACCCATGGCACATATTGGTCATGGAAACGCGAACCCAGTGAACCAGAGGCTGAGGGTCCCCAACGATCCCAAAAGGTCCACCAACTCGAAGTGGACAACCACCCTGGCACGGCGATAAAGCATGGACTTTGGAGAGCAGGACGGGGAAGATCCATGGGCCTCGGACCTCCTCACTTGCAATTGTGCTGTCGGAGCGGTAGAGGCGGAACATCTCCCGCCGACTGCAATGTCTCCTCAATCTGGCGAAGTGGCTGTCAATGAAGGATTCGGGGCGGCCAAACGCGGCCGAATCACACGCTATTGAGTACAGACTGGTTGATTACCAAAGAGGTTAACATAGATTATGATTCAGGCTGGAAAGAATACTGGAAAAAGCGCTAGCCTAGCTAGTACCTACAGTACATACCATGCATGACCTTTAGAGGGACAAGTGATCTGATTTTTGATACGCACAATATTTGTTTGGTCCTGGTCCTTCCGAGGGATCCCTTCATGTCTACCTACTTGTACAGCAGTAGTAGTATCATCTTTTGCCAAGCGCACCCGTTTTCCGTCCAGTTCTTATTTCTTTGACCATTGCCCTCTGGCCCTCTGGCCCTTTGACCCCAAGACCGAACGACCGACCGACCGAACCAAGGCGGACCAAGACCCGGGTAAAGGGTGAAAGCGGTTATCCGTCGTTTGTTATTTCTGCGCGGGACAAGGTCGAAGTCGAACGTCAAAGGTTGAAGGTGAAGATTTTGTCGATCATCACTTCTACTATTACTGCTGATGCTGATGCCAATGCTACTGCTACTGCTACTGCTCTACTTCGTCGAGTCGAGTTGAGCCGAGTCGTATTAGTCGTATTGGGCGCGGCGCAGCGAAGCGGTTGGGTGTGTGTGGGACAAGACTACATACCTCGTATCGACTAGAGACTATTCCTACTTGTTCCTCGTAGTAGGTCTACCTACGTAGGGATTTTGAAAACTTGTTCGTTTCGTTCGTCCGTTCGAGTGAGGGACGGAGCGAGAGGGGGGGATGAATGGATTACTTCTCTAAAGCCCGAAGGATCGATCGATTACTTCTTCTGACTTTCAGACCCCGGCCCCGAAACGAGACGAGTACTCGGTACTCGCAGGAGTATGATATCCCATTTCCATTGGTATTGGGCCCTTTTGTGTTCGGTGGCCGAGGCACATGTTCCCATTACCCTGCGGGGATTGACTGCTGTGTAACTAATGAGTATCCGCAATGCCGTGTCTGCCGACGATAGATAGATACAACGAGAGAAGATACGTCGATACTCTTGAGTACCCATGTAGTGTCCTTGTGCTAGATACCCAGCAAGTACAGTATGTGTCCGATGGTCTCTTACGCCCCGGAGCGATGGTCTGGTGTCTTTGACAATGTCTCCAAGTGCGTACTCGACACGAGGTATATCTTCAAGGACCTGATCCATCTACTACTTACTACCTACCTAGCATAGCATGTTCCTCCAGGATCTGTGGCAACACTTTAGGCACGCAGGTACCAAATAGTATGTACTCCAGATTAGGGAGGCTTGTCTCCGTACGGAGGATCCGTAGGTTAGTAGTATTCACTCAAGGCGCTGAAGCAGACTCGATCGCATCCTCCCCCCTCCCTCGTCTCACACAATCCCCCTCGTTTGCCACAAAGTGGATTGATATCTGTCACAGGGATGCCAACGAGGGATCCCCATACGACATTCTTCCCTCGTATTTTCCATTCTCACTTCCATATCCGGACCAAAAGAAGAACCTCGCACGGCTAGCTTGCTAGCTAGCCAGCTGATCTCCATGCCATGCCATGTCTACTCACCCTCGTCCTCGTCTCGTACGGCCGCCGAGCTGCCCCCTCTTTCAGGCGAGATGGGTCGCTCAGCGGATGATGTGTTGCGATATGATGCGATGCATGCACGCATGCAGGGTCTCCTCGCTACAGGTAGAAGTACGGGTAGATTTGTTCGGTACGAGGTTTGGCATATATGCAGCGAGTACTGTGGCACCGAGGACTCTAGGTAACGTAAGTAGGAGGTAGGTAGGGCAAGGGTGGTGGTCGTTGTACTCCGTCGGTGGCGTAGGTGCACACAAAAGTTAGTTTTGGTATATCAAAGCGGGCGAAACATTTTATGTAGGTAGTAGTGGTGGTAGGTTGCGTAGATCTGCGCCGAAAAAAGCTCTTGTTCCCGTTGGGGCTTGAAAAGCTTAAGATGTATTCCCCTCCCTCGCCTTCCTCCCTTCCTCCCTTCCGCTGCCCCCTCTTCCCTTCGTTTCCTTCCTCGCAAGCAATGGACCTCAAGAACCCGTAGGTACACGATCGAATGCATCGGCCCGACTCAGCTAGTCTAGCTCAGTCCCAGCTGGATGAAACTCGACAAACTCTCTCCTCCCTAGTTCTCACGGTTCTTCAGCTCGCGAACGGTCTAGCTCAGTCCACTCCAGCCTCTCCGCCCCATCTTCAGAGTCCAGACGCCTTGATCGACCTGTACAACCAAAGGCTAAAAAAGAGTGGGAGAAGGGAAGGGAAGAGCCGGAGAGAAAGAAGAGGGGCCAAGGAAGCGCACTGGGCAGTTCATGCACGTACTTGGTACCCTATGCAATTGCAGGTGGAGGTACATATACCTAGTAGGCATGGTATGGGGGTAGCACACGAATACAAATGGACCTACATGTAGGCAGTGACTCGATAATAGTGTTAGGTGTGTATGTGTGTGACAAGGATGGGAAGTATCTTCCTCGTCGAAGGTTTATTTTGCTTGTCGTTGATTACGCCCTCGGCCCCTTATGCCTTCGCGCGGGAGTTATGTTAGTGCATGCCTGTGACCTGTGTACTCGTACTCGTACTCGTGCGAGGCATGTACATCCAAGTATACTGCCAATGTATACTCAATCTAGGTATCTCGTATAGACGGCCTGTCTCTTTGCAAGTACATGTATGTACCTGGGTAGCTTTGTAGGCTTCTCCTCCTCCTTCTCATCCTCCTCCCAACCCCATCTGTCTGCTCCTCCTTGTCGTCGTCGATACTTTCCCTTCAAACCACTCCTCGGGGCCTTGTGGGCATTATGGTGGATGCCTCAGGCACAAGTCTAGACCACAACCCATGTACATAGATACATACAGACATACACATGCATCTTTTCTTGGGGACGTAGTAGTCCGACACTCAACCCTCGACCCCATCATCGTCTTCTTATTTTCTTTGTCCCCTCTCTCTCGCGCTGTCGCTCTTCCAATGTTTCGCCGCCTCACACGCTCCACAACAACCCTTAATTCCCAGTGCTAATTAATCCGTTCGTTACAGAAATTATGAACGGGTCCGACAAAAGGGTCTCCGCAAGGGCACCAAAAAGAAAAACAAACCTTCTACTTTCCCCCTCCACAAAGCTACTCAGCTACTCGTACGAGGTCTTTTGGGGGAGGGAGAAAACCTCGCGCCCCTCGCTACCGAGCCTAGAACTCGCTACCACGGCCCGCGACGGTGATCCCTGCATGCTCGCTTATGCTGGAGCCCGCTGCTCGTCCAACCCTCTACGGAGTATTAAGACAATGGTCGGCTTTAGCTTCATGTGTAGGGTGCTCGTATCGAAAACCGTAATCTGCATGTGATGAGCTATTGATATCATCACCACGGAAAACGAGTTTCGAGCGTCTCGTGAGTTCGGAGCAGCTGTACAAAAGAATTCGTACTCGCGCGATCAAGAATGCTGGAAGCAATCATGACTGGTGGATAGAGTACAACACCGCTAGATGTTGGTGATATTTCATTCTGCGCCGCCAAGTGTCATTCGACACTCGTTCCCTCGCGTTGTGTTTGGGATGGTGTCCACCATCCCCTTGCAGAAATTTCTATTCATTCGCCAGGCATGCCACCACAAATTGACTCCCGTCCAGAGCTCTTGTTCCCCTCAGCAGGTAGTGCAACCCTGATGCATCCCACCAGCGGTACGTACAATGATCAAGGCATGTGGACCAACGAATAGTAGAGATCCGAGTATGCAGCTTACTCCGGTTTCCAACAGAACAAAAGGGTATGTGTAACATTCTCTGTATCTTGACCACCGCCCATAGCACAAAGTCACAAAGGAAAATTTCGTAAAGAAAAGACGTAAAGGTGATCCTGCTGAGGAAGACGAAACAACCCGATTATCCCTCAAATGCCCTCAACGCCATGCCAGAAAGAGTCGCAAACACTTGATTCGTGGCTCGTCCATTCGCCTGAGCTTCCAGGTATCTCTTTGCAAGTTCTCGTTCTGAAGTTAGGTCGCCATTCCCCCCAGATGCCAGCAGCATGACACTGTAGATGACATCTCTGTTCTCCATCCCGTCCAGATATGGTCGGCATTGTCTCACTGCGGCGGCTGACAGACCTGACCCATCCGCTCTCTGAGTTGCAGCCGCCGCTTCGACCAGGTTCCAAAATTCTTCAGATCTCCTACCCAGTTGCTTTTCCAGGGCACTGGTTTTCGGTTCGGGTTCGGCCTCTTCTTGATGGACAAAGTCAGCCATTGTCGCTGTTTGGCTGCTGAATTGTTCACCCGTCAGGATGGCCCCCAGTGCTCGACACCGGCGGGCGAGTCGGTCTGCCTCTTCGCCACTGTCGTGCGCCGGTCGAATGCATAGCTCTAGCAGGGCCCAGGTCACTCTGGCCTCTTGACTGGCGAGTGTCGCATTTTCGGTCGGCGTATCGGCGTGGTTACTAACCAAAGTCAAATACGCCAACATGTTGCCCAATTGAGTCCGATCCATGCAGAGTAGAGGGAACCCTTCCCGTGCAAACCACTTCGACTGGCCAGCCTCCAAGAGCTTGTCGAGGCCAGGAGCAAAGGCAATGTCGTACACTTTCCGAATTGACTCGAGGTTGGGGACGGAATCGGGTGGAATAGGTGGTACACTAGGAATTTTTGTGCCAGCAATTGTACAAATGGACTCAATGGTCCTTGGGGTCGGACGAGAACCGACGTCGGTCATTATTGCACTGTCTTCAGGTTAGTCCCGATGGAGGAGGAATCACCGGCTCAACTCCACTCACTTCGTCCCGGTGGTGGATATGGAGCTAGACCAGGCTGATGCGCTCCGTCCATATGATATGGCTGATTAATGTGAGGCAAGACCTGTTCTGGTGGTCGTGGGAACGGGTATTCTGAGTGATCTCGAGGTGAGTTGGAGACAATGGAGGAATGGTGATTGGACCCCGGGGGGCTAATGGAAGTGTTGGTAAACCTCGGGACCTGATTGTTGACCGAGGAGGATGGTGGAGGATTGTTGCTGATGTTGTTGCTTGGGGCCGACGGCGCAGGGTGCAGAGAATGAGGACCTTGCGGCTGGAAGACCGGGTCGTAGCCTTGACAACTGCGCTTGCTCTTCATGCAATTTCTGCAGTCTGGTCGACCTTCATCGCACTGTCAATAGCATCAAGCTGTTAGCGCCGTGCGAGGAGTAGAGAGAAAGGGGAAAATCAACGGTCGCGGCTGCAGAGGACTAGCAGAGCGCAGGCGGACGCGAGGGAAAGTGCTGCCGTGACCCAAAGGGGACAGGAGAACGGGAAAGCAATCTCGAGACGAAGACAGGCGCTGGGCGATGGAGTCGCTAAGACAGAAAAAATATGTGTGTAGCGCCGTTGAGTTAGGGATGGAGAAGGGAAGGTTTGTGACACGGGCGGAGATGGGCATGGTCGATCACCAAGCCCCCCAGGCCTAAAAAGGGCCGGGCATCCTTTGGGGGGCAGGAGCTCCCTGGATTTGGCCTTAGGCGCTAGCCCAGGTGGAGCCCCCGTGTAAACTTGCCCTCGGCCGGCCATGCCCACCCCCCAAAGGGCCCTTGCCTCTGGCACGGCCTTGCCATGCGCTCGCTGTCAAAAACCCGCCCAACCCATGTGTGTTGACAACGTGGATGACAAGGCTTGATGGCTGGAATGAAGACTGTAAAGAGACGAGGGTAGGGCTGAAGAGGACAGATGATTGCGGAAATAGATCAAAAAACTCACCTTGATGCGCCTCTTTCGGCATGTCAGACATCCTGTCTTGGTCCGTCTCTTCACCTCCTTGGCTTTGTGTCGAGGAGTTGCAACGATCAGATTCGGGTCCGTCGTCGAGGGAAGAGGCATTCGTCCCGGCATTTGCTGGTATGGCGAAGGTATTCCCGGGTAGATTGGCCGTGATTGCATGTACTCGTGAGGCACAGGTGGCGGCGGCACTGGGGCTGGGGCTGGTCGAACAGAATAGGGATACGGCAGCGGTGGCAGAACACGTTGCGGCGCTGGCGGCGGGGGTGGTAGAGGTTGCACAACTTCTGGTTCCGGCCTGTGTGCAACTTGAGTGTGGAAATCGATGCTGCTGATCGGAGGCAGGCTGATCGGAGCCGTCGAAGCTTGCAGAGCCGCCGTGGTCATATTTGAATAGTTCATCAGGTCCGTGGCTCGTCGCCCTTGCACTATTTCCCCCAAGCAGAGCAGGTCAATGCAGCAAAAGTCGCGACGCGAAGCGACGTCGATGAAAAGAGTTGACAAAGTGCAAGATGCTTCGATGTCGTATGCTTTTTTTTTCCAGAGCGGGAAACTTGGATTTGCTTCTCAAATGACCGGTTGGATGATCACCAGCGAAGTTTCCAGTTGATTGGTGATGGAACCCAATCCGTTGATGCTCTTTGCCACGGTCCCGTGAGATTTTGCCTCTTTTCCCAACCGGCCTTTTCTGTCTTTCTTGCAGACGGGGGAGGAGTTCAGAAGTATGTCTCTGCACCGGACAAGCAAAGTAACGCAAGTCAGCAAGCGGGGTGCAAAACCATCAACGAGAAAGCAGCAGAGCAAAAAAACGACAATAAGACAGACAATCCAGGAATGAAGGGGGAATCGAGCGCAAAGCAAAAGGTGGTGAAGAGAGTAAAGATACTAGGAAAACGTATGGAGTTTGCGGTATGGTGTGCCTGCACCATAGTAACATAACATATGACTTGGGATGGAGGAGCGAAGTGGCATGGCACTGGACGGAAGGAGGAACGGCGGTTGACAGGCATGCGAGTTCCACTAACAGGGCTTGACGGGGCAGGGGGTGGAGGGGAGAAGGTCTCGCTGCTGGAGTGCTTGGTCACCCCATTCAGGCCCCGTGAAACGCCCACCAGTCGCCAGTGGCTCAACGCCTTGACCATTTGAGTGTTCGCTCTTTTGCTCCAGGTGTCGCGGACGTCCTAAGTGCCGAAGCGCAGGTGAGCATGAATCAGATTTCGATGGCGAAATTGGAACGAACCTCGCTTGGGATCGCTTCGACACGATCAGCCGCCTTAGACGACAAGCATTCTCTGGGGGGGCGAGGCCAGGTGCAATAACTCGAAAGGCGACCGTGCTCCAAATGCCATACTTGGGGGCCTGTACAAGCACTAGTGGGAGACGTAGGATGTGGACAATGGGATGGAAACAACGGACAGGAAACCACGACTCCATCAAAATGCCCCCGAACGGCCCGGAACCAGGTTAAGGTGTCAATCAACGGTCACCAGGAGTTGGTGAGTGGTGAATGGTGATCCAAACGACTCGAGCAGCAACTGGTGGCAGTGGCACTGGCAGTGGCCGCCCGCTGGCTGGGTCGACTCGTCTGTGGCAGGAGGCACCACTAGAACCCACCAACTGCTGAGCAAAGAGTTTGCAAAACTCCCTGGTACCCAGTCAAGAGGCTTCTCGCTTAGGGCATCTCCCGACGCCAGACGACGTTAGGCCCGAGTCTAAGCACCTTTAGACCGTGCTTCATCCTGGACCGAAGGGAGGGGGGCACCCATCTGGGGGGGCGCCCTTTGCTCCCGGCTTTGCCCACTGCTAGCGCTTCCCGCTCCAGGTCGGTTGCATTAATGTGCATCGGGGCTGCCAGCTATACACGGTAATAATTATTGATCAAGCTGAGAAAGACAAAAGACCAAACATTCCAACGGGGGTTAGTTCCGCCCCTCCCATCCCCCTTTGCGAGGAATAGCGCCCCGAAGCTGTCGAGGCTGGAGAAATACTCGTACACACCTGTACACCGTATCTTGGTCGTGGTGGATACGGTGTAGGATGAAGATTGCTTAAAGTCATTGAACAGGGATGATGGTCCAAATGGAGGCGGCAGCAAAACTGGCAAAACTGGCCCTCGGATTGTCCAGAAACTCGGAACCAAGGCAGCAGGAGCTGAACCAAACAAAAAGGATAGATAACGCACCGTGGAGAGCAGACTTCTTTAACGTCCCACTCACTGTTCAGCTTCGAGTTCTTTGGTTCAATAGACCAATGTTATTGTTGACGCTCCCGGGCTCTCTCCTTCTCTTCTGTGCAATGCAATGTCCCAAAAGAGAACAACCTCCAATGCCCGTGGATGTCACGACGCTGCTGCTTGACCGTTGCCAAGCGACTCTAGAACCCTGCTAGCGGCATTTCGAGAAATGGAGTCGTATCAGTCGAGGCACCAACAATTTTGGAAAAGTCATGCCCGCTCACGCCCACTTCTGTAACCGAGCCCAGTAGTCGACTCGCTGCACTTGCGCTTACATGCAACTCCCTCCTGGACTCTGCCTACTCGAGTATAGCACCACCTACCAGGGTACTCCGTATCCTTCCTTTGAGGCTGTCTCTCAATGTGACCATGTCAGCATCCAAACCCACCCAAAGCAATCCATGTCCACGGCCCTTGCGGCCTCCAGAGCAAAAAAAGAGACTGGTGCTTTTCCTACCTCGTCGACCCCTTCGTGCTCCGCTTCCTGATTCTCTCCCTCTTGTTCCTGTCCTGGTTCGCTCGAAGCGGTACGCCACCGGTCACCATGCAGCTACCAACCCCCGGTGGACTATTGGAGAGGTTGGGGGGCTTGGGGGGAATGATGAGGGGGACAAAAAAGATAGCAAGAAACTCTCAAAGACAGCCCACGGATTGGCGTGTGATATCCCTGGAACCTTGCTGTTTGATCACCATGACCCCCGTCACGCTATCGACTGAAACAAGTGTTCGAAAATCTCCAGACAAACTAGTTGGAAAAAGTAGCCCAGGGAAACTCGTCCTCGACAAAGTCCACGACACGGCCTAAACAGATTCGAGGACAACTCCACCCCGAGTGTCTCTCGTCCACAGGCCTCCAGCGCACAGGGCACTTTTAGCCTTTTTTGACTTTCAAGGTGCCTCTTAGCGAGACAAGTTTGACCTCGCTCCGAGATGTGCCTTGCCTCTTGTTTTGGCAGGCCTCCCCCCTCCCAAGCTCTGGACTTTCCTCGTTGATCATCGCATCCCAGGAACGCTCCTCCAGCTATCATGATCGCCTAGCCACAATGCATGGTTGGCCCGCATTGGATCCGGTACCGCCCAGGTACCATTTGTCAACCGTCGTCTCGAGGGTGGCTTTTGGTGTCACATGAGCCCGTCTTGTCAACACGAAAAGGTGCATGAAATCATACCCTGAGACGGCACTGAAAAAGAAGCCTCGACCCCTGTGAGCCTCGACTGGCTCGTCATAGGTGGTGTCTCTCCTGATAATTGCCTATCTATCCGAGGCCATTCTGCACGAAGACCAAAATTGACAGGTACTGATCCAAGCTGGCAGAGGGCTTCCACCAAAAGGACCTAACCGTCGAGAGTCGAGATCGTGGGAATGACGGACCGAAGTGCGCTGGGGTCGGAAATCGTGCAACGGTGCAGCACAATATTCTCCGAACGAGCCAGATCCCCTTGCGGGACCAAAAGGCGAGCAGCACAAGCAGCATGCAGGTTGTGCAGAGGCGATCGAGAGGCCCCTTGCCTTAGGCCCCTGGGGATGACGACCATAGGTAATGCACCACTCGTGCCCTCGTTCACGGCAGGGTGCATCAAGCACTCCTCGGCATAATCAGGAATAAACGAGGATGACAAGAGGGATAATTCGAGCTGTCCCCGACGTGCAATTGGCCGCTGGTGACATGTCGGTCATGCATGACACCTTTCTCCTAGAAATGGAGGCGGTCAGTGATGATGACGTTTGATTCA